CTATGTTGCTCGGACTCTCCGAAAATGTGGCCGGATACGTGTCGGATCCTCCAAAAGTAGTGCAATTTTGAAGGATCCGACACGGGTGCGGCTACATTTTGGAGAGTCCGCGCAACATAGATTTTGGGTACATGTCCTATCTGTACAACTACATGTGATTATGAGGTAATATTTTGGTGCAGGTTGTTATATGCATTCAATATTCAATCATTGATAACAAGTTGTTACTGTCCATATGTGACTTCACCGACGTGATTCATCATTTAATGTTGTGCATAGTGATAAAAATCTGCTTTGTACTAAAAAAGTAATAAGCAGATGCAGATCTGCTTTGGCTCATCTTAAGATACATCATCAAATTTTGATGCCTTAAATTTTCTGTATGAGGTTGAGCTGGTTTAGTTACTGGTGTTTCCCTTATTTCTTGGTTTACTGACAAATTAATGAAGATTCTCTACAAATTAAATGATCATCTTAACCTACCTGCTGCTTCTTTAATTACAAAAAGAAAAACACTATTAATTTGATTACTCAAGCCTAGATTGTGTATCTTAAGATTCTTGGATGCTGATATTGATAAAAAAAGATATAGTTGGATTCTGGCTTTTCCGACTAGGTTTATTCGAACTGAAATTTCTTCATGAACTGTTATTATTTTCAACATTAGCTTAAAGTATTGCTATTCAATGTAATTGTGCTTGATTTGGTGGTCTATTAATTTCTACCATCTTATTACACTATTTTTCACGTGTAGCCTGTGGCAAAAAGAATTTTTCGTACACTAAGAAGTCTTTCATCAATCTATTATTAGAGAGTGGCAGGACTTTCACCAAGGGGATTCAAAAATAAAGAAATAAGGGATTCAATAGCTAATATGTAGAAAAAGAACTTCTAAACTTATATACATAGTGTAATTTTTCAGCAAAGGGGGTTCGGTTGGAACCCCTTCCGCCACCCTGGCTCCCGCCCATGCTAACAGTAGCTTATCCGGGATAGCAGAGAAGAATACTTGATCAGTTCATTCCCAAGGGATGGTTGATTTATTAATATATTGAAGTAACAACCTGCCATCTCAAATGTGAGCCATCAGCTTCAATCTTTGTGGTCAGGTTTACCTAACGCTTGTGCTTGTGGATATAGCGGACTGCCCAATGCCCAGTGGATTAGTCGAGGTGCAGTAAACAAGTTGTCGGGGCACCAGTATCATAATACATGATAATTTCACAATTAAAGATTTGGCTACCCAATTTCAAAAGATAACAGAATGGTAAAGATTTCATTTGTATAACTTACTTGAAGACTTTTGTACATATATTTACAATTGTTGCCTAGCAAGATGAAAAAAGAAAAACAAGAAAACTCTAAGCTCTAATCTGAAGCTACTTCATATTTCTTAATTTCATAAATTCAATCTAGAAGTCACATCAACAAAGTCATTCTCATTGCAAGGTATTGTTAGACCACCCTAGGAGTGGCAAACGGGCGGGTCGGGTCGGGTCGGATATGGTTCGGGTCGAAAACGGGTAATGAAAAAAACGGATCAATTATCCAATCCGGCCCATATTTAATACGGATAAAAAACGGGTTAACCAGCGGATAATATGGGTTACCCATATTATCCATGACTTCTTGTATATAATCACTTTTGGGAGAATTCTTAGTAGGGGTGTGCATTCGAATCGATTTATCGATAAATCGAATCGATTATTTGTTATCGAAATCGAAATCGAAAAAATCGAAACCTTATTGAAACGATAACGATAAGCATATGTACAAATCGATAATCGATAAGTAATTATCGATAAGGGTCAAAATCGAATCGATAAATCGAATGCACACCCCTAAAGACACTTGTAAAATGAGTAATTACCTATTTGTGTAGATTAATATAACATATATAATGTATATATATTCCGCTAATATTTTGAAAGCGGCTATACAATATTATTTTCCCTAATCTATACCATTTCCTTTACCCTAAGTCCCTTACCCTATTATTTCCTCTATCACATTTAAGGA